GAAGATGTTTACAGTGTTTTCCTCTAAAAGTTTTATTGTTTAATGTTTTGCATTTAAGTCTCTATTACATGATGTGAAGTCGGGCTCAAAATCTTTTTTTCCTATTTGGATATTCAATCCGCTCAGGACTAGTTACTGAAAGGCGGCCCTGCCCCCATGGCATGGAGTGTCACTTTTCTGGACTCTGCCAAGTCCTGCCGGCCAGCTTGTCCATCCTTACACCCTGTGTTCATGATTGCTGTTGCTCTAAGAGTGCCCACTGGCTGGGTTCTCCTCAACAGATTTGATGATCTGGCACAAACTTTTCAGTAGAACCCTGCCACGTGCTGGCTGTGGGATTTAGCCTGTCAGCCTTTATCACCCTCTTCCACATGAAGGAAAACACTCGTCCCTTGCAGACTTATGAGAATCGGGTGCGATCACACAGGTGTGGTGCTGGGCACAGGAGAAGCACCTCTGAGAGGCTAGCTCCTATTTCGGGGTGTAGTCGAGGCAGTGCAGAACTCCAGCTAGACTGCGCTGCACGGCGTCCAATCTTGGCTGGTCCACTTGGAGTCGGTAATGTTGGGAGGATGGCAGTGTGACCCTCCATCTCCTTGATGTGGGGATGAGGGCGCGTACCTCTCAAGCCTATAGTGTGGACTAAATGCGTTCACACAGCACTTCCCAACTCAGTGCTCCTGGGGGTGGACACAGGTAATGGTGACCTCTGTGCAGCGCTCTGGGGTGCTCAGGTAAGGCTGCAGTGGCTGGGCTGGGCTGGGCACCTGTGCCGAGGCATGTGTGCCTCCCTGGCAGACCACAGTGTGTGGCCACTCTGCTGGGAGTCCACGTGTGTGGGAGCTGCACCCTACATTACTTGGCTGTGTGCTTACTCAGTAGATGTTGCCTTCTAGAATCATCCTCATGTCAATCGGTACCCTGGAATCTCTAAGCTTGATTTTTCCCCCCAGTTTTTTTTTTATTGTGGTAAAAAACACAGAGCATAAAAATTGCCATCTTAACCACTGTAAGTGTACAGTTCACTGGTAGTAAGGGCCGTCCCCACCATCCGTCTCCATGATCTCACCTTCCCAGACGGAAGCTCTGTCCCCATCAAGCACTGACTCCCCATCCCCCAGACCTGGCCCATGCCACCCTGCTTTCTGTCACTGTAATTTGGCTACTGGGGATCTCATGTAAGTGGAATCACACAGGACTTGTTCCTTTGTGCCTGGCGCACTTCACTGGCACCCCGTCCTCCAGGTCCATCCGTGTTGTGGCATGTGTAGGAATTGCTTTCCTTTCCGAGGCTGAGTGATGCTCCACTGTGCGGCCGGGCCCATCATGCTTACCCGCTCCTCTCTCTGTGCTTGGATATTCGGTTTGCTTCCACATTTCAGCTGTGGAGCTCCAAGCCCGATTTTGGTGTATAGAGGCTGCATCCTTGTAGTTTATTGACAACAGAGTGAATCTTTTAAAATCCTTTTTCCTGCTCCTTGGAGCAGAACTATTTGAGAGGAGGGATTTTCCTCTAAGCCCTTGATCCTTCGCTCTTCTGCTTGCACTGTTGATTTTTTTATAAGCTCGGTGCTTATATTCTTTTTGCACTTCACTCACTCCTCGGCACAGAGGACGTTTTCCTACATGGGTGGTCTGATTTTTGTCTTCTTCTCCATTGCGGAGTTGAAGCCCCGGCCTGGAGGGGCAGAGCAGGTGACCACCATACTCCCAGCGCAGAGGCTTGCCCATGAGCAACGGATTTCTCTTTTGGGACCCATGTCCCAGTCGGGTGCCTGGGACGGTCCAAAGGGAGAGGCCCAGAGCAAAACTGGACAAGCGTTCTTGCCCTGGTTGTGCAGGGGTTCAGCGCGGAGCCAGAGGACAGCCTGTCACTCTGAGGTCTCTACGAGCCATTTCCAGGGATTCCTTTGGAACCAGAACTGAGGGTGAAGTCAGGGACGCTTCCTTAGGCATTTTTCCCGAGAGCAGATCTGGGCAGAGGCAGCCTACGAGCACAGTGCCCGGGGGCAGGAGGCCATCGGCCTGGTGGCCCTCAGGAAATCCACAGAGCCTCCCCCGCCTCTGCCTCCGCCGGCCTCGCCTCGGCCGTCCCCAGCCTGCAGCTCTGCTCACCACCCTGCTCCGCACTGGTCCACTCCTGCCCAGGGCCTCCCAGCCACTCTCGCGCTGCCATGAGGGTGATGCCGCACGTGTCTCCAGGGATGCGCTGGGACACCCCTCATGCGGAAAGTACTTAGAGTCACATCCTAGTGGCCTTTTTAGGAGCTCTGAGTCCTCCTTGGAGGGTGGGGGAGGGACACCAGCCAGCCAGTGCTGTGGAGGCCTTCCCTCCACACAGGGACCAGGAGCAGGATGAGGTGGGTGGAGGGGGAGAAGAAGGGGAGCAGGGAGATGGGGGGCCAGGGAGGGGGAATGGGGAGGGGAGATGGGGGGCTGGGGAGGGGAACAGGGTGGGGAGATGGGGCTGGGGGACAGGACAGAGGGGCAAGGCTTGGGCTCGGGGGTCCAGGTTTCATGGCGCTGCTCCTAGTGAAGCCTGGGGAGGCCTGTTGAGGGGACAGGCGGTGAGGAGCGATTATTCTTCAGGCTTTGGGCCCGACTGGGTTTCTTCCAAAGAGAATTCTACACACCAGCTGGGCCAGCTGGCGCTCAGGAGATGTTTGGTTACAGCATCGATCAGAACTGAACGCTTTTCCTTCCCTCATGCAGTCCACCAGGCACCTGCCTTAGACCCCATGAATTACATCCCTGTCTCTGAACAGATGATGCCCTCACACCTGCCCCTGCCCTCCCGGACAGCTGGCCGCCTGCCCTGGGCTCTGCTCTCCTGCCTTCGGTCTCCCCGCTCCAGGTAGGACTGCCTCCTGTCCCTCCCCGGTGTCCCCAGCTCCCACAGGGCATCCATCAAGGGACTGTTAACACTGTGGGGGACTGATTTCCCTCGGATTTTCTCCCATAGGCTTACAAGGGCAAGGACTGCCCACCCTGCGGCCCAGGAACCCCTGGAGGCACCTTGTGTAGGTGTTGATGTTCCCGACAGCAATCTGCCGCCTGCCCCCCGCCTCGGGCATCAAGTGAAATAAGGCCAGGGAAGCGTTCACATGCCATCCCAGAAGCTGCCCCGGCCAGAGACCGCCATCCTTGGTCCCTGTGTTCTTAGTCCCTGTGGCCCCTCCATCAGCCGCTCCTGTCCCTTGTGGAGTCAGGGGGTCAGTGGTGGGAAGTCCAGTGGCCCTGACCCCACCCCATCCCCTTTGGTCCAGGCCACACAGGGTGGCCTAGAAGGTCCTCACAGCTGCCCTGTGTGGGGCTCGGATGAGGCCCTGAGTTCCTCCTGCCCGCAGACCAGAAGATCCCCCTCTTCTGCAGGCTGAGGACGGGCTGGGCCTCTGGGCCCAGGTGCCGGGGAGGATGGCAGCGGAGGGAACTGGGGGGGAGCAGTCTGAGCAAAGAGGCCTGCGAAGATTCAGAGAGGCGTCAGTCCGCGTGGGCCGCCACTCCAAAATGCCGCAGGAATCGGTGTCTCGTAGCGGGAGGCCGCCCTCCACAGCGAGCTCCGTGACCCCTGCCTGGTGTGCACCTGGGCAGAGTGACAGAGTGGTGACATTCCTTTTTTTCTCAGAACAGCTCCAAGCACAGAACAATGAGCAGACAGCGCAGATGCCCCAGGTGCAGCCTCCCCGCTGGCAACACCCCCAGGGGGGCAGCTGTTCCAGGTGGTGCACCTCCACAGCCACGTCACCACCAGAGCCCATTTCCACTGGGGTCACCTCGTGCTGCACCTCTTGTGGGCCTGGAAAAATCTGCCCCTACAGCGTCACACAGCGCGGCCTCCTGCCCTGAACACCCTCCGGCTCTGCCTGCTCACGCCCCACCTCCTGCTCCCCAGGCCCCAGGTATCTTCTCCTAAGGACACTAATCCTATCAGATCAGAGCCTGACCTCATTTAACCTTAATCACGTCCTCAGAGGCCCCATCTCCAAGTGCAGCCACATGGGAGCGTAGGGCTTCAACATGGGAATTTGGGGGACACAAACATTCCATCTGTAAAGTGGGGACATGCAGACAGGACCCCAGCTCCAGGCCTTTGCTCAGGTCTTCTCTGCCACCAGCATGCCTGGTCCCCACTGAGCCTAACTAGCCTTCAAAGATACCCCCCTCTCCAGGAAGTCTTCCCGACTGCCCCGTGGGCCAGGGCACCTGACCCAGCCCTTGGGAGTGGGGTGTTGGGGAAGGTCCCTGGTCACAGACGCCTGCCCACCTGCCCTTTTCTCCCTGGGCAGAAGGGATTCTTGAAAGGCAGTCACATGTGCGCCCAGCCTGTGGGCGAACCAGGCCTCTCAGGGACAAATGGTTCGGCGATGGTGCCTGTGGGTGCTGGGCCTGGCGGCCCCGACCCAAGGGTTCCCAGGCTGGGCTGTCCCTGGTGGAGGGTGGGCTAGGTCCTAAGTCTCCAGAGCTTTCTGCAGGGGCTCCGGTAGTGGCAGTAGGCCCTCTAAGTGCCCCCAGTGTCAGCCTGCGCCTGCCCTGAGAGGGGATCTCCGGGGCCTCCTGGATGCCGGCCCCACGGTGGCTGGATGGCTGGGACTGGCCCCGCCGGGGGCAGCCGGCTCCGGCTGACAGCTCTGCGCTCACAGCCTGTACTTTGTGGGGCAGTGTAAGAAATACAAGGCCCAGAGACAGACGGAGAGTGGGAGGGCGGCCCAGGGAGGCTGGTGCCGGGAGTGGGCTGTGAGCAAGGGAGGCCCCCCGGCAACGCTGTCGCCCCAGAGCAGGGAGCCCAGAGGGGAAAGCGGGTGCGGACCCAGCCCCGCCTGCCCGCCTCTGACTCTGCAGCCCTGAGAGGGCCCCTTAGCCCTCCAAGCCGGCTCTCAGCGGGGCTGCGGGGTGGCCACCAGAACCGCAGGCTAAGCAAGGGCTGGTGGTTCCCCCCTTTCTGGGAGCCCGTGTGGCTCCCGCGGGGTGAGTGGCCTGGGTCTGCAGGGCGGCCAGAGGTGGCGTAGCCGAGCTCCTCCGGGCAGGTACCTGGGCTGTGCCTACTTTGTGATTTGGAGTCACTCGCCACCCGCACAGCGACTTCAACAGCAGAGCCTCAGTGCATGTGCCCCAGACGGTCCGAGGCACAGAGCAGGCGCCCACAGTGCCTGAAGGCGGCCTCGTGGGGCCTCGGAGCCAAGAGCTTCCGCCCAGAGCCAGAGCCCCCAGTGTGACTGTGCCTGGATCTGGCCCTTGGCTGACCCTTTCCGCAGCGTCCCCACATGGAGGACTTGGGCCTAAAGGCCCACCACCTCCCGCCTCTCCATCCAGGCCCACACCTCCCAGTCTTCCCCACATGGGCAGACGGAACGCTGTCCCCACAGGCGCCCCCACCCCTCCCTCTCACCTCGCCCAAGGCCTGCTGCAAACCCTATAGCTATTATCTTACCGCCTTCCGCTCTCACCTCCTGGTCTGAGCTGCCACCGTCTCTGGCTGGCTAGTCGCTGCCTGTCGCCATCCTTGCCTCCCTGGGATCTGGTCCCCGTCCTGACTGTTTAAGTCAGGTCGCTTTGCTCCGCAGACTTTCACGTGACATCGCTGCGTGATGTGCTGTCTCCCTCGCTGTGGGGCCTCTCTCACCCCATGAGCCTGTGCACCCCATAGGCGGGGACACTGCCCAGTTGTCCCCTCTGGTGGTCTGGCTCCTAGAGCAATGCCTGGGGGCAGCAGCTTGAAGTATCGGTGAACAGGTGAAGATGTGTAGGGCAAACGAATGAATGGGTGGATGTGTGGGCGGCTGGGTGGACGGAGGGAATTAGGTGGTGAACGGGTGCTCAGGAGGGGTGGTGAGGGGTGATGGGGCGCAGGCGGGCTGGTGGGTGGACAGGTCATCATGCGTGGTTGCCCAAGGTGGTGGACGTGGGGCTGGGTGAATGGAAGGGCTGGAGGGTGGCAGGCCGGTGGTTAGATGAGGGGATGCTGGTGGGTTAGGTGGGTACATGGATGAGAGGATGGGACCGTGCTGTGGGGTGGGACGCGGACTCATCCACCCGTGCCTGGACTACTGAACAGGTGGTGAGGGTGAAGGTATGGTGGGTGGTCCCTGGTCAGATGGAGGGGTGGACCCACGGATTGTTGGGGGTGGGACGGATGACTGGGTGGATATATTGGCTGTTAGTGACTGGATAATCAGTTTGCAGGTGTATGTTGGGTGGCTGGATAGCACATGGGTGGGGAGTGTGTCCCCGACTAGCTGCACATGTGGATGGTGAGTGGGTGATACGGTGAATGGATCAATGGGTGGGTGGGAGTACTGGGTGGGCTTGGGGAAGGGCGAATGGTGCGTGAGACTGGAAGAAGTTGGGTTTGATTGGGGGTGCAGACGGGGGTCAAGGAGTTGGACTGCTGGAGGTTGGGGTGGGTGGGTGGATTGGTGTCTGTGTGAGTGAGTGGCTGTGGCAGCTGGACTGAGTGTAGGGTGAGTCCATGCCAGTGACCTGTTATCTGCCCTATACCTCCTTTATGACACCCTACAGGTGAGCTCCCACTGATTCCTGCCTTAAAGATGGGGACACTGAGGTTGCAAGGGAAGTCATCCACACCAGAGGCTGCTGGGAAACCACCAGGGCTGGGGCAGCTGAGAGGGTCCTGACAGAGCAGGTGAGGGTTGCTGCGTGTCCTGGTGCTGAAGCCACTCTCTGGACCTTGAGCCAGGACCAGGCCCGCTGGGCGAGGATGCTGACCAGGTGTTGTCCCCTGCTCACTGGCTGCTGTTTATAGGCAAGGTGCCAAGGAGCTGCCAGGGGAATCCAGAAGGGGAATGATTTATGCACGTGGCATCGGGGCCTGCAATTCCCCCAGACTAGCAATAGCTTAAGGGATTTGGTCTGACTGGCTATAGGAAGGTCCCGGGCCCGCTGCGGAGTCTTCAGGGACTTGGCCCTCGCGTGACCTTCTCCCCTGCCCGGCACCCCACCCAGCACTGTCCCCAGCCTCCTGCAGGGCAGCTCAGCTTCTTTGCAGGAGTAGCTCCAGGGCTGCCTCCTGCCAAGTGCTGTGGGCTGTCACCCTGGGCTGTGGTGGTCCTGATGCCCAGGAGAGTGTCTGGCTCAAGGCACTGAGATGGCTTCCCTCCCATGCTACTTCCTGGCTGTCTGAAGGGTGGCACTCACCCCAGAGTGTCTGGGGAGCTGGAAGGCCCCTTGCACAGCCCTCCTGCCTTAAAGATGGGGACACTGAGGTTGCAAGGGAAGACACAGCCAGGGCAACATCCGGCCTGACCCTGGGACCAGAGTCCCCCCCAACTTTGGGCTGTTACATGCACTGTCATGGACCACTGGTGCCCTCCAGCCATGAGCAGGGCCAGCCCATAGGGCCATGCTTCCAACTCTCCCACGTCCAATTGCCAACAGGGTGTTGTTGAGCTCCGACTGCCAGAGGGACATGGCTGAGCCCTCAGCTTGCTTGCAGATAGTGGTGAGATACATTCCTCATGTCCATCTCCTCCTCGCGCCACTTGGCTCCAGCAGGCAAGGAAAGTACAGCTCTTTGATGCTGTGTACCAACACCGACACCTCAGGCTTCAGGGCCTTTGCACATGCTGTTCCTTGGCATAAAAAGCATCTCATTCTCCATCCCTCACCTTAGCCATCCCCTTCTCCAGAGAGCCCTCTCCACACTCAGTCCTTATGGTCTGGGTTGTTTTGACACATCTCCCTGCTCCCACAGGGGTGTGGGACCCAGGAATGGCCAGTGCCAATAGGAAGGGTCCTGTGCAGCTGTAGGTCCGGCAATGGCCCCACTCTGGACCAATCAGCATCAATGCACTTTGGCTGTCCCTAGATCCAGCCATGCCTGAAGATGTGAACTTCCCATTTAAGATGTGAACTTCCCATTTATAGAAGCCAGGAAATTAATTAAATGAAAAAATTAATGAATAACCCATTAAAAGTCAATACACATTTTTAAATTTAAACTTTAATTGAGTTTTGCCTCAGGTGGGTGGTTTGAGGTTTCTGTTATTTACAACTGACCCCTTCACACTGCTCCTGGAGTCAGGCCTTTTCCATCAGGTTGGGTGACCTGATTGGCTGAGCATATGGGTCCCTGGCAGGACTCAGGCACACCCAGGACTTCACAGTTCATAAAACCTGGAGTTGGGGATAGAGGTGGTCAGTCCCCAAGGCCACGGAGGCTGTGTGTCATTCCCAGGCCACTGGGGCAGCTGGCTAGACTAGAGCCGAGGTCTCAGCCTCCCAGTCTGGGGAGTCCATCACTGCCCTGTGGAGTCTGCTCTGACCCCTGCCTGTGGGGACCTACCAGGCCAGAGAGACCTGCTCTGTGGGTTCGATTTCCAGGCCACCTCTCTCTCTGTTCTACGTCTCTGCAGCTAGAGTCTCATGCACTCTGAAACTTTCTCCCAGGGAATAATTCATTCTTTGCTGTGACCCAATTATCTTTCCTTGCTGATGTGGGTGGCCTGCTCCCCTGAGTCCCCCCGTGCCAGGCCCCAAACAGGGACATACCCCAAGAAGCCCCATTTTAGTGAGAGACAGGCCCAAACACAGGCAGTGGTAAGGGGGTGGTCAGCTGTGAGAGGGTCTGTGGGGCAGAGGAAGGGAGAGAAAGAAGGGGAGGGCCAGGAAGCACCCTCCAGAGGAGGGGACGTTTGTCCTGGGTCCTCTGAGGGCGTCCCAGGTGGCAGGAACTATGTGGGTCAAGGCACAGGAGGTTGGAAGTGACCAGTAGGGGTCAGAGCCTTTGAGGACTCCCATGAGTAGAGTGTAATGGGCATGATGGGATGTAGGACAAGGCAGGAACCTCACCTGACTGCAGGTGGCCTGAAGCTTGGGATAAGGAGAACTCTTACACATCCTTCAAGGCCCTGCCCAAGTGTCCCAAATCCTTCCTGAAGGTTTGATGCTCCCAGACCTAAGGCGTCTCATCTCAGAAATGGGCTTCTGAGGGCTGGTTGAGACACTCCAAGAAGGTGGCAGCCCAGTGCACAAGTCAGGGAGGGCTCCTAGGAGCTGGGGTCTTGGTCCCACTTCCTGCGAGCACCTGTTGTTGGGCTGCCCTGCTCTCCTCTGCGATGCTGTGTCGTCAGTGCAGTGCTCCCAGCACAGCGGTTTCGAGAGGTGATCCCCGCACCACGCCTCAGGCACTCAGTGAGCAGCCCCAGGGTTCCTCTTCTCCTAGGCTGGAGGCTTGGAGGTGTTTTAAAGATCATGGGGGCTTTGGGGTGGTGGCTGAGAACCCTGTGCTGCTTGGGGGGGGTCTCAGTTGTGAGAGGAGAGGGGGTTGGTGGGCTTTTTCAGGCATGAAAAAGATGGTGATCTCCCCATAGACTTGGAGCTGTGGGGACGCAGAGCCCTTGGGGCAGACGGAGCGGGAGGCAGACAGTGGTTGCCAGCCTTGACCGCCCGCTGGGCCAGGCTCAGCTCCATGCCCTCTGGGCAGCAGGCCTGGGCCCCTGAGCTGGGAGCGGCAAGCTGGCCCCTCTTACTTGGCCTTCCAGGGTGGAGCCGCCCCTCCCCCGCCCTCCTGCACCCTCAGGGAAACACCCCTTTCCTGATGGACATACCCGGGCTCCTGGGGGTAGGGGGTCTGCTACTCCTGGAGCATGGGGGCTCCCAGACGGTGTAGGCAGTGAGGTCTGGGGGCCAAGGGTGACACCGAGGAACGGGGCCTGGGTCCTCAGCCAGATGCCGACCCCCTGCCACGTCCACACAGCTGGCCTGTCATGGGGTGCTGCAGACCACGGGGCAGTGGCAACTTAGGCAGGGGACAGCAGGGGTCCGGGGCAGGCGGTGACCATGTGTGAAGAGGGCCCACTGTGGGGGGCACTGCCCAAGGGGGGCATCGGTCCTGGAGCCACACGGACCTGGCTCACAGCCCGTCTGACCCACGCCAGCACTGGGCTCTGTTCACCCAGGACAGAGCCCATGGTGGTGGCTTTTGCAGTGGGAACAGAGGCTGCAGTGGTGACCTAGCCTGCAGGGGTCAGAACCACCTGACCGGACACGGGGCTCCAAACCCAGTAACCTCGCCTCACCCGCCTGTTGAGGGGGTAGCATCACCAGCCCCGCACCCCGGGCCACGCCTTGAAGGCTGCACCACTCAGATGAGCAAGCGCTCTGGGCTGAGGGCCAGACCTGAGAAAACACTGTTTGGCGATTTGGTCCTTGGAGGGGTCTGAGCAGTGTGAGATTTTCTTCTTGAAGAGAGCCTGTCTTCCTCCGGACATCCCTCCCCTTCCTGCCCCTCCGCACCTGCTCTCAGGAGCAGTTGTGGTGCTCTTCGGGGGCTTTCCACGGGAGGGGCAGCCCCGGCCTCCCGGCCTCCCTGCCCGCTGGCCCTCCCACTAAGGCCTCTGCCCGGGACCCCGCCGGGGGCTCAGCTCTGGCTGGGCGGCATGGAAGGTCCGAGTCTGTGCTGTGCACTCCGAAGTGCAGAGAAATGGAAACCCGACCGGTTGGACCCCAGCTCGCAGCCTCTGCTCCAGAACCGGGCCGAGTGGTGCAGCCCTGAATTCACACTCAGGATGTGACCTTACTGGGAAATAGGGTCTTTGCAGACTGAATAGTCGAAATAAGGCGCTGGAATAGGGTGGGCCCTGACTGCAGCTGCTGGTGGCCTCATAGGAAAAGCGGAGGACACAGGGACACACAGGGAGACAGCTGTGAGGAGGAGGAGACGTTGGAGGGACATGGCCATGCGCCCAGGCTGCCTGGAGACCCAGGCTTGGAGAGGAGAGGCAGGAAGGTGGTCCCCCTGGGGTCGGAGGGAGGCAGCGCCGCCCACATCACGATGTACACCCGGGCCTGTGGACACGAAGAGGGACATTCTTGTAGCTTGAAGCCTGCGTTTTTGTGGACTTCTGTGGCTGCCCCAGTATGTTAATCCAGGGCCCCCAGGCAGCTGTTCAACTTGACACTCTATTTCCTTTGTTTCTGAAAGTTTCAATCACGGAATGGTAATTTGTTCTCGCAATGTATCCCTGTTGCTTTCATTCCCCGGTTAATTCTCTCCGTCCTGGCGCGGCTGGACCACCTGTCCCGTGGCCTTGGCAGGTCTTACGGAGCCTCAGAGCCTTCCGTTTACAGAAGCGCCTCTCTATCGGCAGCCAGGTGCTCCCTGTCCCCTCCCGGGCTCCACCTCCGCCCTCCCCCATGTCCGGCGGTGGCCCCTGACCTGGAGCAGGCGCTCTGCTTCCACTGCTGTGAGACACACTGCGAATTGCCCCACGACTCCTAGGTTATGTCCCTCCTGATTTTGCTGACCTGGCATTTAGGGGGGCTTGGCGTCAGGGCTCAGTGCTTGCTGCCATCCTCTGAGGGCTGGCACGGCCTGATATCTGGGTTGGCCACTCAAGGGGCAGGAGCTCGGCCGGGCTGCCAGCCAGTGCGCTCACGTAGGGCCTGTCCAGGATGGTGGGACGCATGCGGTGGGGGCTTCCCCCAGGGTGGCCCTGGAAGCCCCCAGCATAAGTCCGAGCTCCATGCGGGGCTCCGAGCTCTGCTGGCAGCTCCTGTACCTGCGGGTTTCTGGGGTGCTTGTGTGTAGGCAGCGAGCGGCTGTGTCCCGTCTCCCTGGGTCTGGGGGCTGCACCCTGGAGGCCAGAGCCCTTCTAAGGCACTGGGTGATGGGGTCTCAGGTCCATAACCACGAGACCCTTGGTCAGACTCCTGACTGGGCAGAGAACAGGACTTGGTGATGCCACCATCTCTGTAGAGGGACCAGGTGCTCTCCCTCTGAGCCCCTGCTTCCTCCTGCAGACTCTCCAGAGCGGACACAGCTGTTGACCATCTCCAGCACTGAAGTCAGAAGTGTAGTCAGCTTGGAGGCCCAGAGAGACCAAGGGGACCCACACTGAACAATTGGGGTCTCGAAGGCTGACCTCTGGCCCTGCCCAACACTGCCTGCTGCATCCTGGGGCCCCCGGGGGGCTCAGAGGGCACAGCTCTGGGGTCAGGAGGTGGTAGCCTGTCAGGAAAGGCTTGACGTGGAGCTGGCGGAGGAGGGGGGTGGTGGGCTGTGGCCCCTGGTTGCGCTGTTCCAGTCAGGCCCCATCTTCCCAGTGACGCGAGCACGGTGTGAGGGGCCCAGATATTTCTGCCCAGCTTGAGACTCTCGCTGCAGGCCTCTACTCTGGGGGGGCATTGCCAGGTCCACAGCTTCTTGCCTGAGCCACCTTTGTGCCCTTTGTCTCTTGGACGTCACCTCCACCCCTCCTGCATCCCCGTCTGCTGCACGTCTGCTTCCTGAGGACCCCCTAGGACCAGGTGCCCTCCCAAAGGACTGGGGCCCTCCTCCCCTAGGATCAGGCCTCCTGCAGGGCTGGATCGGTCTGGCTCCTGCTGCCCCTGGCCAGCACACAGTAGGTCCTCAGGTGTAGGTGTGTGCATGACTGAATTGTGCATGAACCCATCCCCTCCTTGCTCCTGGGATCTCAGGGTCCCGAGATCCTGGGTTCCTTCTCCTAAATTCTTACTGAAGACTTCCCAGAGCCCCATCTGGTCTCCCTGTGAGGAGGCCGCTGGCCACTAAAGGTAAGAGTCACTCGGATCAGGGAGGGGCCCAGGTTGGGGGAGGGGCCAAGGCAGTGGGGGTGGGGGGTGGGGTGGTGAGCAAAGGGGTGAAGCCCTGAAAATATGAGCTCTCCACGTCTTTGGGCCTGAACATCCGACCTCATGGTCCATTTAAGTAGAGCGGTCATGGAGGGGTCATGTCAGGGCCGAGCGGCATAGCTCTACTCCACAGGTGTCTCTCCGTGAATCTGAACTGGCATATTCACCCAAGGCTAAGGCAAAATAGACTTGAGGCCCAGAGCCTTAAAATCACGGCCCAGAGGAGGCAGAGAAGGCAGGGCTGAGGGAATGGCCCAGGGATGGGTGAGTGGG